AATCGTGGCGTAAAAAAAAAAATAAACGTTTTTTTTATTAAACTTTACGAGTTTTTACGAGTTCGTACCTTAAAAAAAAAAAAATGATAAAAATAACGAGGTAGGTAGGTAGGTAGGTAACTGAGGTACGTAGGTACGTAGGTACGTAACTTATCACTCGACGAATGATTAACTTTTTAAACGATAAAAAAAAAAAAAAAACGTTTTCCTTTTTTTTTCCATTTCCATTTTTTTAATTTAATTTTAACGAGACTTTAACGAAACAAATTTTCAAAAGAAAAAAAGAAAATCCTAACGGAAAAATCTTTTAATAATAATAATAATAAAAATAATATTAATCATCATTATTATTATTTAATTTTACGGATTTTAATTTTATTATTATTAATTATTATTAATCATTTATCGAAATTGCACAACTTAACAAAAAAAAAAAATAATGATAACTTTTTCCTACGAATAAATGACAAAACGTAATTATTATTATTATTATTATTATTATTATTATTATTTCGTTATTTCCTTTAAAACCGTTAAAAAAAACCACAAATAATAATAATAATAATAGTAAAATATATATATTTACTCACTCACTTATTTTTTATTAATAAATTACGTCATGAATCGTCGTCGTCGTCGTCGTCGTCGTCGAGAACAGTAGTAATAAATATTACGAGTAAAAAAAAAAAGAAAAACAAAGAAGAAAAAGAGGGGGGACGGAGAAGGGGAGAGAGGGGAGGAGTGGGGGGAGAAGGGAAAAAGTCCCGAGTGATTTTTTAACGTTTGACGGTTATTATTATTAATAATAATATTATTGTTATTATTGATATTATTTGATTTTAAACGAAGAATGCGTGCGCATGTCATACATAATATTTACGATTGATTAATAATAATAATAATAATGATAATAATAATAATAATAATAATAATAATAATAATAATAAATTTTCTTATCACATTTTCTTTTGTTTAGAAATTTTTGATTCAATAGAAAAAAAATTTTTCCCGATTTGAAATTATTTGGAAATTTTTTTGACATGTTAAAAAAAATTTTTTTCTTTTTGTTTCCTTGTATTATTATTATTATTATTAATAAGTTTCTGTGAAAAAATTTTTTTTTTTTTCGTGAAGGTTTTTTCTATTAAGTAAAAAAATAATAATGATAATAAATAGTTACGAAATTAATATTAATAATAATAATAATAATAATAATATTTCAGTTAAATAAAAAATTAGTTTAAAAAAAATTTTTTCTCTCTTTCTCTCTCCCTCTCTCTCTCTCTTTTTTTTTGTTATTTTTTCTAAACACGTTGTAATAATGATAATAATAATTATCGAATGTTAATTTTTTAAAACAAAAAAAAAAAAAAAAAATTATCTAAACAAATTTTTTTGTTTTGTTTTAAAACTTTTAACAAACGAAATTGAAAATGTTTTTTTTTGTGTTTAAAACAAAACAAAACAAAAGAAAAGAAAATTTTTCTTTTTTTATAAATAAATTAAAAAAATTTTTTCCTTTGATATTTTTTTCGTGAAAATTTTCAATCGATCGTGATTTAGGTCAACAAAGAGTCAACACAATTTTTTTTTTTCAAAAACGTTTTTTTTTTTCGGTTAAAAAGTCGATAATTCAAATTAAAATAAAAAAAAAAAAAAGAAAAATGGGGACGAATAAGAATAATATTAGATTTAAAAAAAAAAAAAAAAGAAAAGTTTTTTGACCCCGAATCATGTGAATAATTAATTAATCGAAATAATTTTCTTTATTATTATTATCATCATCATTATTATTATTATTGTAATTTTCTAATAAACTTGCATAATTCGTAATAAAAGAAAAGAAAAAATTATTTTTATTTTTTTTTTTTAAATGAAGGAAAGTAGTTATGAGGAAGGCAAAAATTCGCTTCGTTTATCATCACCATTATCATCATTTTCATTATTATTATTACTCATGAGTATCTTTATTAATCAATCAATAAATCAATAAATATGAAAAAAAAAAATTTTTTTATGCAAGACCCGGAATTGGTTTTGATTGAAAACCAAAAAAAAAAAAAAAAAAAATTTTCTCCCGTTAAAATTTCCTTCAAAATTATTATTATTATTACTATTATTATTATTATTATCATAACACAAACTATTAGACACCAATTACATAAATTTATGTTAATAACACGTCAATGTATTTTTTTATTTTAAAAAAAACAAACAAACAAACAAAGGATTATTATTATTATAACTTATTACGTAATTAACGAGTGTGTTAAATCGAAATTTTTTCTTTACCCTCCCCCTCCCTCCCTTCATCTCCCCTTTCCCCCCAATTCTCCCCGCCGCTCCCCACGAAATTCATTTAAAAAAAAAAAAAAAGAAAAAATTTCGCAGTCGTATTAATAATAATAATAATAATAATAAATCTAATTCGTCACGAGTTAATAATAATTTTTTTTATTATTATTAATGGAGTGCAATTAAAACAAAAAAAAAGGTAACAAACAACAACAACAAACGAAATAAAATCCAAACAATCAACAAATCGCGAAATTTAACGTTTGTTTTAAATAAATAATAATAATAATAATAATAATAATTTATTTACGTGAACTTAAGTTGAATTTTTTTATTATTTTTTTTAATAAAAAAGTTTTCGTTTAAAAAAAATTTCAACCAAGGGAGCCAACATTCCAAAACAAATAAATAAATAAATATTAACGATGATTTGCATAAATCACGTGATAATAATAATAATGATGATAATAATACGAAGTGAAAGGATATTAGAAAGCTTTTTAAAGTATTAAATGTTTAAACACGAATAAAATTATTAATGAGAAAGAAAAAAAAAAGAACATTCGCGAACAACACAACACAACAACAATCATTGTTTTTATCATTATTATTATTATCATGAATTATTTTTTTTCTTTATGCTTCTCCACGTTTACATCATTATTATTATTATTAAAAAAAAAAATTCCTTACCTTTTAACTTTAATAATAATACTAAAAAAAAAAATTTGTTTAACTAAATGATTTTTTTATCCACAACAAATAACATTAGTAATAATTTTAATAATAATAATAGTAATAATAATAATAATACGTTTTCGATTTAATTTATAATAACAAAAAATAATTTAAAAACTGCCACTTTAAAATAAAAAACAAAATGCCGGATATCACAAAAATATAATAAAAAAAAAAAAAAAAAAAATTAAAAATAAAAAGGAATAAACTTCACAACTCAGGTATTTGGCCCTGACTAAAAGAAGCCGATTTAGTTTGTTCCAGAAAACTTTCAACTTCTATTCTTTATGGCTGAAGCATGCGCAACTATTATTATTATTCATTATTCACTATTTATTATTATTATTATCATCGTCAACGCTATCGCTTATTTTTTTTTCCCTTTACTTCCTTTATTTTTTTGTCGCGTTGTAAGTTGTAAATTAATTATCATTATCATTAAAAAAAAAATCGACTCGGGGAATTTATTAATAATAAATAAATAAATAAATAAATAAATAAATTTGATGATGATGATGATGATTAAGAATTTTCGTGATTGGATATAAAGAGGTTTGTTGAAAAGGGTAACAAATTGTGGTGTTTTTGTGACACGTGACCTCAACACACGAGGGTTTCCCTTATTTTCGTCACCCTTTAAATAAATTTTTCACACAGAAAATGTAAAAAATTTTCCTTTTTATACATCCTCCTCCTTATTATTATTATTATTATTTCAAGTGTGAAATTTATATTATTAACAAAATAACAATTATATTTAATAAGTAAATATTATTATTATTATTACTATTTGTCTCTGGAACAAACGACTGGAATTCAAATTCCCCATTAATAACAACCGAATTTTCCTTATTATGTGTGAGTAGGTGAGTGCGCGGTACGCGGCCCGTTAAGGATTTTTTTAAATAATAATAATAATAATAAAATTTTTAACAAGAATTGATTTTTCGAATCATTCATTGCTACGTCATAAACTTGTAGAAATTGTGACGTCAAAAAAAAAAAAATTTCTTCTTCTTCTTCTTATTAACTCAGGTTTAATACGAATGACGTTTGGCAGGTATCACCTTTTGAAATTTTTTAAATTCTCTCACATAAGTTAAACATAAAAAGAAAAAATTATGAATTAAACTTTTTGAGTAATATTTGAATGGAATAAAAATACTTTGGAATGGTCCGTCAAGGATAACATGTAAAAAAATGATTCATATCTCTCTCTCTCTCTCTCTATCTATCTCTCTCTCTACCTCTCTTTTTCCCTCTCCTTCCTTCACCAAAATGATATTTAAAAAAGAGAGAGAGAGAGATAGAATCATAAGGTATATTTTACAGGTGTGCTTCCCGTTTTATTCTCCAGTTGTTGTTGTTGTTGTCATTCGAAAAAAAAATACGATTTTTACACAATTTAATTAATTTTTAATAAAATAATAATAATAATAATAATAATAATAATAATAATGATGATGATGATAATAATAATTTA